TCTGTAAATGTAATAATGTGATACTGCCTTTTTTTTTTTTTTTGTCAAGGTTGCTTTGACTATGTATGGGGTCTTTGTGGTTCCATATACATTTCAGTAATGTTTGCTGTATTTCTTTGAAGAATACCATTGATACTTTTTATACAGATTGTATTGAATTTATATATATATTGTATTTACAAAGATGGATATCCTAACTACCCTTAAATATGGAATATTAGTTCTTTGGCATTAGGTGTTGTTAAGTAAGTAGGAAATATGTTCTTTTACTAATTAAATGTAAATTTTCGTCTAAATTCTACCAATTAATGGACTGTTCCTTTCCTGCCTTTTATCAAAGTGTAAAATGCCATTTTCCTACAGAAGTCTCTCTTTTTTTCCAACAGCTAATACATAGTGACCTTTGGATGGGGACATCAGGACCCATGAGCAAATTCCACCAGTTTTTTCAGGTCTCTACTCCCCACACCTTCTCTCCCAGCTCTGCTTCCAGAATCCTCCATGTGTTACTAAGAGCAGGAGATGATAAACAAATCTGTGGTGAGTTACTTAGTTTTTTCTCAGCTTGTTTTATATTCAACTTTATGAGGGTTCATAAATTTAAAAAAATTAGTTATAGATAAAATTCCACCTCAGGGACTTATATCTACCTGGGTTCTAAGACAGAAGAGCCTCCAAAAGCCCCACAATGCCAGAAACAACAAACAAGGACGATAGCAATACAGTATCCACGCAGTAGGGGCCTGTGGGCTGTCGCTGAACAAAGGACAGTGCCTGGAAGAGGACAGGTCACTGTCTGCGGGCTCTTCCCTATGCACACAATTGCACAAACATCAGGCTCAGGAAACAACACATGGGGTTTATTTTACAAATGCAGGAAATAAAGAGCTCATAGCGGCACAAGTGGCGCCTATCTCACTCAAGTAGTGTCCACCAGAAGTACAAGCAGAGTGCCGGTCGCCTGTCAGCAGAGCTACACCACGCCAGCAGTAGTGACGGTCACTACTGGTCCCCCGTAGGTGGTGTCAGAGACACCAAAGTGTTAGCAGCTCTTTTGTGAATTGTTCGGCTACTCCAGCGACAAACAGCTCTTC